AAAAAATTTTTTTAGGCAACCGCTAAAAACCATTAAATCGCGTTTTTTGCTCTAACTTTGTTATTTTATATCCGATTTTTTAAATCTTTATGTCACACTACAATGGGCCATTAAATAGGTTTTGCCTTTAAACCCGTTTTAATTTATACTTCTTTTGGAATTACTATCCCTAGATTTTTATTTATAAACTATAAAGGGTTAGGCTTTATTCAATATAGTCCTTAGCGAGGCTTTTCGGTGACATACAAATTAAAAAAATCGGATGGCAAACAAGAAAGAAAAAAACGAGATTTAGCGATTTTTAGCGGGTGCAAAAAAAAAAATTACACCCACAATTTTTTCTCGACATAAGTATTTATATAAAACTGACGCACGCTAAACTTTTTTTCGAGATACGCCTTAATGTACATACTATAAAGTTATTTAGAAAGTAAAAGAGAAAAATATATATGTACATACCTATGTATGCTAATTTAATTCATTTAAATCTATTCTATAGTTGATGGAAGGGCGTAAAGCAGTCGGAGGCAAATTAGAAATTAAATTGCGCGTTCGCAACCCAATTCTAACTAAGCAAGTGGAACATATTGAAGAAAAATGGCTTGTGCTGGATGCCTAGAGTTTGATTACTTACTTCAACTCTAAGAGTATTTAATTAGTTGTAATGGAAATAGCTTCAACTATGTATTGTGTGTATGAATTTATATTAATTACCGCCAGTTTTTATTGTACGAACTTTTATTTAAAATAATAAAAACGCTACTCAATGTTAAGAAACAAATTTTATTTATAATAATTAATTACAATGTGCGACAATTTCGAGAAGCCGAAAACGAACCAGGTTTCATTAATGGCTACATTTCGAGCCCTAACCGCCAAAATAACGAAAGCGACATTTTTTCAAAATTTCCTTTTTGATGCAGAAATGCACCTAAATGCTCTAGGAATATTTCTGCATCCAAAAGAAAATTTTGAAAAAAATGTCGCTTACGTTATTTTGGCGGTTAGGGCTCGATTTATTGATTCATTTTGAAAGTTTGGAACAAACTTCTTCATGTACCTATTAGTTTTAACGCTCCGGATAATATGCTATATTACATATACATACTCCAATTGCATTCTTTTAATTCTGGGGTTCCAAATAAGATATAAACCAGGGATGTTCAACAAACGAAACGATAACATTTCGTTGCGTTTCAGAGTTAAATTAACGAAACAAAATTGATTGTTAAACGTTAAAACAAAATAAATCAAGGAAAAGCTTGTTATAAATGACTGCGGATGTTTATGCAGGAAAGCAAGCCAAAAAAATATGTACGACTAAACTATTGTTACGATTATCCTTGAACCCTCGTCCGGATTTCCCAAATCCTCCGGTTCGTATCGCTGGATTGTTAAATAAAGGCTAACGATGACCACATGGTAGTACAATTAACTTTATTGTACAACAAACAATTTTACAATACTTGCTAATACAGTAAAAACACTACAATACTTGTTAAAGCAATTACAACGCTTTACTGAACTTGTTAATACAATTAAACTTATAGCTTGCTTATTCGCAACTCACTTCTCTGCTCACTTTACTTATAGCTTGCTGACTTGTAACTAACTCACCTCGCTGTGGCGGCGCCCTTATATACCTGCGCTGGCACTTATGACAACTCTAGAACATTCTGAAGTTTATCGCTCATTCTCTTTCTCTCGCTGTTCGCAGTGTTCATCCAACTTGACGATTCTCTTTGTGGAACATTCTACGTCATTCCTCGAACATTCTGCCTATTTCTCGTTCGCTTCGCGTTGCCGCAGTATTCGTCACACTATAATTTCGTCATAGTTATGTGGTACATATTTTTAGGCTTCGTTTTCTGCATCCGCAGTCTAGTTATAAACCATTTCCAACTCACTGTTAACACCTAGCGCCTAAATGCATGTTACAGCTTCAGTGTTAACGATTAGATTTCTTTTCGTTAAAACCCCAAAATAGAATTAGTTTGATAATTACCTAAACGATAAAAAGTTGATTCGTTTCAACAAAAACCATTGTTTTTTTTCGGTAAATATTAAAATTAACGTTACATTGCATCCTTGGCTTAAAGAAATGTAGCAAACATTTTTGACAAAATATTTTTTTATGGAATCTAACTTAAGTTTTTTCTTTTAAGCTTTTTTAGCATATAGGTATGTACTAGTCTAAGATCCGAATAAGGCAGGACCTTCACCCATCTGCCTAATGTTCGCGAGTGGGTTGGCTGAAAAATCCTAGCCAGGATATTTTAATTTAATTATTCAAAAATTATTATTTTTTTTAAATTTTGCACTCGTTTGTTTAATGAACAAATTACATATATACTAGTTAATTGAAAGCATAAAGTCTTTATTCGGATTTTCTACTATACATATGTATATGTAACTGTGGACGCTATTTTTATAGCATCCCAGTTGAATTCGTTATAAGCTTTGGTTATTTCTATTTTCTATCCGAATTTGAGGTCATTTTTATGAAAATTTTGTATGGTAAAAAAAAACAATTAAGTATATACAACAGTGGGTGGTATAAGTAGCTGATATTTGAAAATCGAACTTCTTTAAGTTCACGGGAATTTGAACCGTGCAACTCAGCAAATTTGTCATTCTAAATTTCAATATATTCCACTGTGTTGGAAAACTTGCTCCTCCTGTTGAAGACGTCTATGCCTCGGACCCTATAGAAACCTGTAATGAGAACCGACATGATGATAACATGAGGCTATGAGAGCAGAAGTGGCTTTCTTAAAATAGTTTCGAATGTGATACATTTGAAAATAAAGATCGGGTATTCCTTAATTTGATGGTACGCTATGTAGCTTTAAAGCTGAAGCTCCATTGCAGGTTTTTCAGGCGTTGAAAGATGATTTAAAGCTGCTCCATAACCAAAGCCTGAAAGATGCCAAATTTCGAACTTGTTTCAGGCTTTTCAGGCGTCGTCTGACAGTTAAGCTGAAATCAGTCGAGAACGCAGAACGTATACTTAAACGCAGTCTGTATACGCAGAATTTTGTCGATTACTGGAGCCCTCAGTGTTGCTTACTACACTGTTGCCACTCATCAATGCCTTTTCATAAACTTACCCTTTCAACTACAATTTTTCGTGCTATAATAGATTATAGCTAAATATAAACTACTTAGTTTTCAACAAAAACCTTATTCAATAGTAAATTTCAAATATTTTAAACATATTTTGAATAGGAACTTATATCTTTTTTACCATCTGTAAAACTGACGAAGTGGCAACCATCTAAAGAAGGAGAAATCAGCTGACACGGAAAAATCTAAACTCCGCAGATTTCTGCGCTACGGGCTACAACTACAGAAAAATTCTGCGGTGTTGAGTTTTCATTTACATGGCGCTTTGGTAAGACAGATCGTGTCAGCTGACTCGGGTTTACGTACCGGTAGGTTTACGTTCTTGACTAATTTCAGCTTTACTCATTCGAACATTAGTATTGGTGAATATGATTATCGCAATGGTGGTGTAATCGATAACACTTACCATATTTTAAAGGAATTTTACACAAAATTTTGGGCAATAAAATGCAAGGAAAAATCATTTATTGTTTGAACATTAATAGGAAAAAAGGGGAACAAAAGTACTGAATAAATTAAAATGAAATGGTAAAAGAAGTATCACTTTTATCGAACTAGCATTTTTAAGCTGATACCTCATTTGTCGAAAAACTCATTCTTATACCACTCGCCCCATTTACTGCGAAATGACAAATGCGTTGAAGAAACGTCAGGCGCAAAAAGTTTGTTGCGGCGTTACTCGCTTGAAAAGCCTGTAAAACCTGAACGAATTCGAAAGCCGCAACGCCTGAAAAACCTGCTATGAAGCTTCACCTTAAGGAATAAGCGACTTTTATCTTACAATTTATCCCATTTGAGACTATTTTAAGTAGATAAGTACAAAAAAAATATATATATATATATTTTGGGCCATTCCAGCTCTCACGGCTACTTATCAGCTTAAGCATGTGCATATGTACACATTAGCTCTGATCCAGTACTCCATGAACTTACAGGATTTTACACAAACTTGCAGCAAGTTGCAGGAAAAATGTTCCCGTACTCCGAAATCCTCCAAAATCCTGTAAAAGAGAGCGACTTTTGGAGAGTTGTGTAGAGAATGAAGTTGCAAGATTTTACCCGAACTTTTTTTTCTGGTAAAATCATGAAAAGTATCAAGCAATCACTGGTTGACGTTTTTACAAAAATGGTTTTTTTGTTCCCGTACTTTTTGTTGTTACTTCCTTTTTACTCTCACTTCAGAGAGTAATTTTTCTGTTGGACAGTTTTACAGGATTTTTTCACGAAAAGTATTGGATCAGAGCTTATATGTATATGTATATGTATGTTTTGAAAATTACCATTAACAGAGGAATGCGGAGGCGCGAATTGAAAAGACGGAAATGGTAAGTGCCAGTCCTTACTAATAATATTCCATTCGGCAGTCGCATTTACTTTTAACGAAACCTCGTACGTTTTGAGACATTGCACAGTGTGCGCTTCGTGCCAAAAAATAACTATTTCTCCCTCTGTAATTTTAGTAATCACTGGTTGACGAGGTGCCTTCAAAACAGGAGACAAATAGGAGCAAACCCGAAATAACAAAATCCAAGGGAGCTGAAAATGGCCAATATTCAGTTCGAACTCGGCTCTCGATAAAAGTCCGGTTGCCTGCAAGCGAGGAGTTTGGGCGTAGCGCATTTCTGCACGTTGCGTTTTGTTCGGGAATGGTGTTGCGTTTGCTTTTGCTCGCCAAATATGGGCCGGATCGGTGTGGCCTTGCTCTAGTATCTCGATTATATAAGCAAAGTTCTCCTTGGCACATTGCGTGAAAGGTAACTGACGACGAAGGGTGAAGTTTCCTAAGGTCGTAGTATTCTCCTGGGGCAGAAGCAACCAACTCAAGTAGAGAGGTGTGTTTTCGATTGAACATGTTTTCAAAAGCCATAGCTCATTATTGGAGCTATTTAATGTAATTGTTTCTACATCAGCTGCAAGCGTTGCCAACTTCGATAACATTCCCAATGCGGCGTATACGGGCTTTTGTATAAACTGCGAGTGAGCTGGTTGTGAGTTGTTCATACGGAAATGTGCCAGAAGAGTTCGCTGTGCGAATTCATATGGATGATAACTAATGAAGGCATTATCGTGGCTGATCGATTCCAGGTTTTTGAATACGTCATTCGATATTTTAACGTGCCAGTGCAAAAACGTAATGTATACAAGCTTTGCGGCATATCTAACGTCCTCGTGATAGCTCTGGGGTGTAGACCAACCCGCGATGGGGTCCGCTTCACTGTAAATTCATAAAAAAATTACACTAGTTGACAAGAAATCCGACCTTTAGCACTTGACCATAATTTCTGATGTAAAATTTTGCGCTGTTAATACAAATTTCTTTTGAGTTTGTCTTTATAGCGGCACTCGATGAAACCGTTTTTAAGAAATAAATAAAATCTGCCGATGAGAGAAATAAAAAGTTGAAAACAAATGTGAGTCAATACCCTTCTGAATTTCAAAGCGTATTTAAATTTTTTTTATGCATTCGTTTTGAATCTTTGCGAGCTGAGTCAAAGCCTAATAAAGGTGCTGGCCCAATGTAGGCTTGCTTTGCTGGCCTTACTGACTTCATTTTGCTTCAATTTACTTTAAAAGCTTGTTTGGCCAAATGTCTTAATAGCTAAATTTCCATTTCTTGAAATCTGAGAAAAGTTAATTGCAATTTCTTTGGATATATACCCCGTTGTCAAGTTTTGACAACTTATCTTTTTCTTATTTAATTTTAGTTATTTTTTATAAAAATATAGTTTATTCTTTAACAAAGACCGACTAAATCCAAGTTTCAAACTATGTCTTGTAGCCCACTCAATTTTAATAAAATAAAGCGCAAGTTTGAAGTAGCCAGAACTTACCGTTGATTTTTGTAATTTTTTTTTTTTTGTTGAAGGTATTGCTTATTTTCTGCACATAAAAAAAAAATCATCGAACACACTTCGGCACTCGTCTCCAGATGTGTGGCGAAGTGCGAGGCAGCTCTGGATTTGGTACATACTGGTACTGAAATACATTTGTACTGCGTTCCGGAGCACACCGGCGTTGTGGGCAACGACCCACAGGCTTACCAAAGAAGGCGGGCTGTCGGAAACTATGCTGTTAGAAGAGGTGCCTATTTTCCACCAAACGATTAAACGGGAGCTCGACATGTCCATGATCCGGAGGGCGCAGAAGGCGTGGACCAAAATGCAAGGCTGCAAGGTGTCTAGGATTATTTGCGGAGCGTATGACATAAAGCAAACGAAGCTTCTCCTATCCCTCAAGAGGGAGGATGCTAGGCTACTGATGGGTGTCCTAAAGGGACATTGCCTGTTGGCATCCCACGCCTTTAAACTGGCTCTGACAAATGATAAAATGTGTAGATGCAGAACGAAAGAGGAGACAGTGGAGCATATACTACGTGAGTGTCCTGCCCTTAGCAGACTACGATTCAGTCTCCAGGGAGCAGGCTTCCTGCCTAACTTGGAAGCCACTGCCAAGGTAGGGTACAACTTTGCTCCTGGCGCTCAGTGATTAACTGTACAATAGGGTGGTCTTTTATATAGTAACGCTATGGACCGTAATGCCCTGTGCGAAGTCGCGCAGTGACTAGCCAGCTTACCCCTAACCTAACACTTCGTATGGAAAAAATTACATACTTCAAACTTGCACTTTATTTAAAAAAAAATTTAATGGGCTACAAAACTGCGCACGTTTTCCGGATATGAAAATTGATGATAACTGTAGGAGTTTTTTGTATGCGTTTCGGATACGGAAAATTGAACTAAACTGCACTGTCGGCAAAATTTACGTTTCTTTGCTGGTTGGGTAAGTACGTTATTGACAACATATGTAGCTGTGGCAAATTTCAGGCCGTTAGCATAAGCGGCTCCAGAGATAAGCGATATGAAAACTTAATTTTGTATGGGGGGTGCCAGGCCCTTTTACAATACCTGTCACTATCCCTCGTAAGTACGGTATTGATAACGGTACGTTATGATAACGTATTAGCTTAAGCAATTCCAGGGATAAGTGTTCTGAAAAGTTCAGTTTGTATGCGAGGTACCGCAACAATACCTGCCACTTTTCGCTGAAGCTAAGGTATTGATAACATATGTGGCTGTTTCAAATTTAGGACGTTAGCATAAGGCGGTTGCAGAGATAGACGATATGAAAAGTAAAGTTTGTACCCCTTTTCCAATATCTGCCAATTTTCGCCATAAGTAGGGTATTTACAATTTATGCATACGTGCCGAGTTTCAGTTCAGCAGCGTAGTTTTTTGGTTCTGATGCTGACTGTATGTATGTATGTAATTGTATGTCGGCCGCTGTGGTGTAGTGGTAAGCAGTGCACGCTTCCACAGCGCAGCACCTGGGTTCAAGCCCTGGTCAAAGCAACATCGCAAAAATTTAGAAAAAACGTTTTTTCTTAACAGCGGTCGTCCCTCGGCAGCAATGGCAAACCTCCGAGTGTTTTTCTGCCATGAAAAACAGCTTCTCGTAAAAATAGAATCGCCGTTCGGAGTCGTCGTAAACCTGTAGGTCCCTCCGCTTTGTGTGACAACATCAAGGCGCACGCACGCCACAAGTCGGAGGAGAAGCTCGGCCAAACACTAATCTATATTATTATTATTTACATATGTATATATGTACGTACGGTATCATGTACTCACTCATTAGACACTGGTATCGATCTAAAATTGGTATACTTTTCATAGACGTTTTTTAGCAGTTGACTCGAACTTTCTATAACTTCTTTAGCGAATCCTTGTCCTTTTCGGTGGTAGGTAAGAACTTCTATTGGACAATGACTCATTTGTGAGTTGCAGGTTTGAAGCAATGACCAGCATAATGGATGTTCGCCATTTGATTTGAATAGTCCAGCTGGTCCACGCAGTTTAAAATGGAGCGAGTTAACTTTCCTACGACCACCTGCTGTAAGGCCATTTCGCAGCGCCATGACATATTGGAGGTACCCTGGTAACGAAATTATTTGATTAATTCACATTAGTGTTGTTATTGTATAACATTGTGGCCTACTACCTTCCACCGTAAAATTCAAGCGATTGTAGTTACGAACATCCGGCTCATTCCATGTCTCAAACCGCCATTGCAGAAGTTTCTTTGCCCCCAGAAGATCTAGTATAGGACAAAATTTAATGCATATCGTAACCTTAATATAGAAAGGCCCTACCTAATATGTGTGTGTGTCTTTACGGAGTAGTTACAGTAATGAGGGGATGTCAAAAGATGCCTGTTAAAAGCGCAACCCTTAAGATTAAGTTTAAAAGGTCGCGCATCGTGGTTTTCTATTTTCCATATAAATTATTTGGAAAAAAAAAGTGTTTTCATCTTTGGAATTTGTTTTCTCGGTTATAAATTATCGAACTAAAAAGTGCGATACATATTTCTGTAGGAAATTAGATGCTCTACAAACAGCTTCGCATATCATTTTTTGATAAACCTACTGGGTTAATGGTTATTCAAACTAACAAAACTAACAAAATAATTACAATTATCTTCAACTATCCAGAAAAGAAGTCATTTAAAAATTGAAATTGTAAAGCTTAATAAGTCTTCCAAATTAATTGTATTAAAAAAAATCCCATTTCGGGGAAAATTAACCAAAATCTCTTCGTTTGTATTGAGTTATGTTCGGAAGTTCGTTTTAAATTTTTTCACTAAAAATGATTTTAGTATCTTTTTCTAGCAAGGAATT